TTCGGTGCCGTTGCACCCATCGCTCAAAGAGCGCTTCGTCATCTGTAGCGCTTTCGCCTGGGGCAAGCACTACAGGTGCTGTCCGCATTGCGGGTACACGAGAGCCACCTCGTTGAGAACGCAGACGAGTGCGATAAGCTTCCAACGGAAACTCGGTGAAACCAGAAACGAGATCGAAGAGCTTTCCGTTTGGCAAGCTCATCTTTCATAATGGCCGGGGGCCCGATGATGTGAAGGCGTAACGGTCGAGCTACCGCGTCTTTCGCTTCCACAGCGGGATATGCCGGGCGAAAGCCATATTTCACACGAGGGTAATGACCGGCCGTGGATGGGCGCGCATCAGAGCCGCCTTACAGGCAGCTTCCAGCTGACACCTCTGTACCGCGTCGGGGTTATTGGTGATTACACCACGTCTCTTAGGTGACGAGAAGTCAGGAAACGGACATGGGGCCCGCAAGGCACGAGCAGGGATCGTCTCACGCCGCTGGCGCGGCTCGCCTTCCTCGTCATCCCACGAGGAGTGTCAGACTCGTAGTCGACCACCTCCACATCCTCAACGAGGCCACTCGTCGCTGATAGCGTGCGCGGAGCGCGACGCTCGGGCTCATCGAGCCTAGGATATACATTTCTCGATGCCGCGGACGCACTGTCCGACATTGCATCGCGTGCGGGAAACATGGTTGGGCTCTACCCGTGTGCGCTATCAGAACCAGCGAGACTTGGTGACTTTAGTGTCGTTGACCCAGGGCTCATTGAGCACCGAAGTCGTTTAATTCCAGCGAACCAAGTTGCAGTGTCTAGCGGACACGCGAGCCTCGTTGAGGCAATAATTGATTAGAACTGAAAGTATTTTCAATCTTAATGGGGGAGAATTTAGCGGAGTTACACATACCCTGGTAACAGGTTGTGTGTCCCACGAGTGTGACTGCACCCAAATAAGAATACGGTACGTGGCTGGGTAGTCAGTAGTTATGTCTGTATTTAGGTTTTACTATGTATACATTTTGAAAAATCTATACATTCAAAATTAGGCAGCTTTGCCGCAGATAAACAAATAAATACAGTTCACATGTTAAACAAAAGAGTTTATTAGCCTTGGGTTTAGGTTCTAACTACTTTTGGAGGTAGCGGATTGCGATCCGCTACACTCGTACTGGTTCTTGTGAAGATTGTAAGGTCGGTGACCTAAATTAAGCTTCCTCTCAGCGCAAAGCTACGGCAGCCCCGCTGCAATCACAGAGACAGGGAGGCTTAGGAGGGGGCTCTGTCACCTTTTCATCGATGTACGTCGGAGTGTTCTTTCTTGTGAGGGGTAAGTTTCCATCCTGCGACCAATCCAGCCCGCTTTCGTTCCACCGCCGGCTCCATATCGCAGTCATCGTCGCCAGCAGCATATAATTTCTCTACTACATTCTCTTCTTTATGTAAAAGAGCTATCGAGGAGCTGAGACAGCACCGTACCACCAGTCACCATTATCATGAAGCAAGACCTCCTTTCCGATGTATGTCGCATGAAGATACCTGTGTAAATACTTTGTGAAATATTTATCTAACAATGTTAAGCTAAGAAAAGCAAGCCACATTATAGGTCTCACAAGTGTTCAGTACACCATTTGAGGCGAATATTCTTCTGCTCTTGTTGTGGGCGACAACTGCGGTTTTATCTTTTGGATATCTGTCAGACCTTCTTTATTGCTTTAAGCTACTCGAACAACCCACGAAGTACGCATATCATCATCAACCACACGATTTGGTGTTTTCACGGCTCAGAGTTTCATCATGTCAGCACGATAATTTACAGCATGCACACTTTCTATTCCATTAAAGTGGATTTATATGTATTATTGTTTTTTAATACCATAAACCTGTTTAAAGCGATTATAGCATCCAAACTATCGACTGGTTACCCAAGCCTGTCATATAATTCATGGAATCAACGTCTACTTCCGAGCTGCGTAAGGCGCTTTCTAAGTATGCGCTACCCAGTGCCAACGAGTTAATTCATTTGCGCGCTGCTGACCCGACGACATCCTATCGCTCTTCCTATTTTCGTCTGCAGATTGATGAGTTGCTAGCTGTAACCGGCCGTAAGCTTAACGCCAAGGCATCATCGGGTCTGCAAAGTTTATTATTTCAAGTAAAGGAGATTTTACAAAACATTCAAGACCAGCAGGTTACACAGGATGCATTACAGGCCCGCGGTTTATTAGTACGCAACCACGTCAAACACAAAGAGATTGTTCTGCCGTTCCAACATCCTGCACGCCTAGACTTAGTTGGTAGCTACATTCTACAGACAATGGCCTATTCTGGCAAAAAAAGCATGGATTATGGCAATATTTCCATTGATGTAGCAGTGGAAATGCCGCACGATTGCTTCTTACCCAAAGACTTTGGCAATTATCGGTATTTCGACAAACGAAATTTGTACTTGGGTGTCCTGGCTTCAGAATTGCAAATACATACAACACTTTTCTCGCAAATTAAGCTTCAGGCGTGGCGGGGTGACTATGGAAAGCCAATTGTCGTATTGTCGGTAAATTCTGACTATTTGCGCGAACATGGTCTTCATGGTATTAAAGTTTTAGTGCGGTTGGTGCCAGCAGTGACGACAGAGCTGTTTAAGCTAGCAAAACTAGTTCCATCGAGAAATAACATCAAGCATGAACCTGATATGACAGAAGATGAGATGAAAGGATGCAGCACTCCCATGTATAACAATTCGATCTTGGAGGACATGAAGTTGCGACAACATACGAGAGACCTTCACATAGCTCTGAAGGAAGCTCCACAATTGGCCGAGGCATGTATCTTGGCTAAAGTATGGCTTCGACAACGAGAGTTTCACAAAGCCATGGACTCTGTCAATGGATTCTTGCTCTCTATGGTTTTGTTGTATCTATACGAAAAGAAGCGATTCAACGCACAGACTCCATCCGACCAGATATTTAAGGTATTGATGCAATTCCTTGCTCTCCATCCACTTGAAAATGAGCCACTGCAGTTCCCACCAAGTGATGACGGTGTAGTGTTAACCACTGAGGGCATGCACACATTCCGTCGTTCTTTTGAGTTGGTCTTTCTGGATGCATCCGGTCGTTTGAATCTTTTCAGTCGAGTTTCTAAAAGTGCGTGGAAGGAGATTCAAAGTGCTGCCATTGAGTCGGTTACACTTGTGCAACAGTGCACCACGAATGCGTTTCGGTCTCTATTTATCGAAAAGAAATCTTTCTGGACACGCTATGATCAATACTTTTGGTTCCCTGCACCTTTTGCTATAGAAGAAGCAAAGAATGACACGTATACAGTAGAGGAGAAGCGTCAGATTAACGATATGGGACTTGAGCGCTTTTGGCTTCAAAAGCTGGGAAATGTGCTCTCTAATGCACTAACTGATCGTGTGACTCTCATTCGACCGATGACAGAGGATAGCGTTGAGTGGAATATGCAAGACAGTGCACTGCCAAAGCAGCGCAAGGTGGCTGTTGGACTTTGCATTGATTCGAATAATGCCATGCGAATTGTTGACAAAGGTCCGTCAGCAGACGATAAAGAAGCCAGTGCTCGGTTTCGAAACTTTTGGCGTGGCAAATCGGAGCTGCGTCGTTTTAAAGATGGCGCGATTGTCGAAGCTTTAATTTGGGAAGGCATTGGTACAGACAATCGGCACCGAGTGTTGGATGCCATAGTCAGGTACATTGTGCCAGCCCACTGTCCTTACGTCCTTTCGTCACAAATTAAAACGTCGAATGCTGCTTTGTATTCGGTACTTGATGTGGACGAGACGCCAAGAGAGATGCCATCAAGTCTGAATGCGTCGTTTGAAAATGCGATGAACTCTGTATCAAAGCTTTGGGTCATTTTTAACAATTTTGCCAAGACGTTGCGAGGATTAGATTCATTACCCCTAATGATTTCAGATGTACTTCCCGTTCATCCTGCGTTTCGATCCACGAGTCTTTTTCCAATCCAACCACATCCGCTTGCTTACTCAAAGGGTGAAGTGATAGATGCTGCACCTATGGCGCACGCCAGCACGGTCCTTGAACCTCTTGTGTTACACCTCAAATTCGAACGCTCTTCAGCTTGGCCAAATGAAAAGAAGGCTTTAATGCACGCCAAGACTGGATTTTACGTGCACATTGGTCAAGAGCTTCAGTCACGTCTCAAGATTCGTTGTGAAGTGGCAAATGACTGTCTGGATGTGTTTCGGAGCGGCTTTGTATTTCGATTAATAATTCGTTGTGAGAAAGAACTGAGTGTTGTAACTGGTGCTACGGGAGTGAAGAAGCTCGCAATTGTCAATTCTCCAAATTACGTGATGGTAAAGAGAGAAGTGGAATATTTGTCGAGACACGCGAGTTTGGTACACGCGCTCCATACGAAACACAATTCATTCGGTCCTACTGTTCGGCTCGCGCAACAATGGCTAGCTGACAAGATATTGAGTAACGTGTTGCCTATTGAAGCACTAGAACTTCTTGTAGCTGATGTGTATCTAGCAGCTGCCTCAACTTCGATTCCTCACTCGATTCTTTCGAGTTTTCTCCGGTTTCTGAAACGGGTTGCAAGTTTTGACTGGCAGAACCTGCCGTTTATTGTAGATTTTAATAACTCTTTGGACGATGAAAAACGACGTGAGATATATAAGTGCTTCGAAGCGTCAAAAACAAGTCCAAATAGTCACCCCGGCATGTTTATTGCTGTGGATTATGAAGCGATGGACTGTTTATCGAGCTGGACGCGGTTCAAGCTAGATAAAGTGGTAGTCCAACGACTGTGTTTGTTAGCACAGAACTCGTTTGATGTGCTGGTGTCCTGGCTGTCGTCGGGTGCGTCTTCATCTGGCTGGAAAAAAGCGTTCGCCACATCCAGAAAAGAGTTTGATGCGGTGCTACAACTGGCTACGAAAAGCCTTCCGACCAAGCGAATTCGTGTTCATGGCGATAAAAAGCACTCGTTTGTCACATCCTTGTACAAGAATATGGATATGACGGCTGTTCCAGTCATGATTGGATTTGATCCAGTGCAAGAGTTGCTACAGGACTTGGAGCGGACGTTCGGTCACTTGGCTTTTTTCTTCATTAACGCCGTTGAAGCGACAGAAATCCTGATCACTTGGAAACCACAAGCATTCCTTCCCGACAAATTTCGAGCCATCACGGCGAATTACCAGATGCCGCTCTCCTTTTTGAATGTAGCGAAGGAAGATCCAACGCCCTGCTTGGCTATTCCAAACGTTTTCGAAATTTTGTCAGACATGCAGACTATGAGCAATGGCATCGTTGTCGGTATTGCATTGCACCCTTTTGAAAGTTTATAGAACCAGATACATAGATTCATCATCTGACTTATTTCGAATATTTTGATGTAAATACGCCTTACGTCTTCAAAACGATTAGTTTGATACTTTTCACTGCAACCTGCCTTGCATCAATTTTTCATTCTGATGGTTTTGATAACGCAATGTAAAACGAGCAATTTATTGGGCTAGCCGATAATTGACTGTTTTTGACTGATGAACAATTATTTTACTTCGGATGTGATAATAGACGTAGAAATATTTGCCTCTCGAATCTGGGGGAATATTCAAGGACGATTATTGGAACAAAGGGTTTGTGGTAAATATTCTTTTCGTCGTCGACGATGGAAACATGTGGTGATTGGGCATGAAAAATATTCTATTTATTACATATACTTCAGCTGTATTTTGCGTTTTAATATCTTCGGCTGTTTAAATTTGCCACATGAGCAGCGTGTCGTACTCAGCATGGACCAAATTTGACGTGGAAAAAGAGCTATTGCGTGTAGATGAGGTGGAGAAGCACGAGATACAGCAGAAACTTCATTGTAAGCAATTGCAGGCTAAGAAGAGTATCGAAGATTCCGCCGCGCAGGCAGCACAGCAATCGGCCGATATCTTAGCAGCACAAGCTGCAGTGGCCGCTTTAAAAGCCAAAAATCGGGTACGGAAGGGACAAAACACAGACAACAATTTAATTGAAAATGCCAAGAAACTTGAGAATCAGGCTGCACTTTACGCTGAAAAGTACAAGCTGTTCCAACAAATTCTAGAGAACCGACGGGATGGAGACAAAGCTTTAAGTGAAATGAAAGAAGCGAAACTTCTGTATGAAAAGGCTTTGACTGCAATCGAAAAGCTTGAAAATTTAGCACCAAAGCTGCTTGAACAGGAGCAAGAAGAGAAACACTCGGTTGAGAGATCTGTGAGTCAAGAGTGCAATTTAAATAGTAACCAAAATCACTTGTGTGGAAAAAATGATTGTTCTGAAGGGGAAAAAACGCGTCAAAAGGTCAATGAAAGCTTACCCAAGGCGAACGATCTGCGTGCAATTATCAAGATGTTTTATATAGATGTCTATATGGGAATTGGATCTTGTGATCTGAACGCTGGACGTCTAGCTGCAGCGACTGAAGCTTTCAAAGAGGTTTTAATACGTGATGATAAGCATATTTTAGCTTGGTTGAAACGTGGGGAAGCATTTGAACGGATGCAGGCACCATTATTGGCCATGCTGCACTACAACCGCATAACATCTTTGGTATACACTGTTACAATTTTTCATGTATGTAATGTCTTACCTTTCAATTGTACAGGATTCGGAGCATGATCAAGGAAAAAAAGCTTTGGACCGAGTAAAATGTACATTATTGAAAGACGGTGATGCCGCAAATGGTAAGCGTGCATCGCTAAAACCTCAAAAACGATGTCTAACAATTAAATTACAGACAAAATTGCAATCAGTAGCATGGTGACATCATACACAGAAGGTTTGATGATGGAACAAGTGCTTGAGCGAATTCAGTGGATGTTTGTAGAAGCCAATGTGCTGGCTATGGAGAACTTTTATGACTACTCAACAACGAAATATCACGTGATACTTGGATGTTTGGAAACGGTGCAACGTCAATGGAATGCTAACTCATTAACTGAAACTGCTATTCCGGCTGTTCTCAAAGAGGTTTAACTGCGTGTTTGCTCATTTTGCCTCGCTTGTTCTAACTTTTTTGTGTAGATTGCTATCTCGTGTCATTTAAACATTGCAAGCGGTTATGTCGAAATGCAGCGGAATTACATGAAAGGCTTATCTCATTGTGAGCATGCACTTAAGCTTGACAGCAAGTATGTAACGATCCATTTTCGAATGGGTGAACTCTATCACGCGCTGCACAATTACGAAAAGGCCATAAAATGCTTTGAAATAGCAAATTCCTTGGTACCTGATGCCACAAGTAATCTGGCTAATGAACTTCGCACGCAAATGCTATCAGCAATCTCAAAACGGACTGACAAGTGCAAGTTCGACCGCAATCAGTATGATTTAGAGTATCTTCAATCGCTAAAGTCCATTTGAATGATAATATCGTTCCTTGCTACATTGTTTCGTTCCTACTACTAAATCGCTGTGCTGTCCAATACAAAAAGCAGAGTTGTTATGCTTTAAAATCAGTGTCGCGTTTCGTCATCGGTCGGCCGGTTTGTGCTGCGCAGACCTTGTAATGCCAGCTTCTGATGCAGTGCCTCGGCTTCTTGACGAGCTTGCAGCAAAGCTTCGTCATTTTCAAGAAGCGCATTGATGTCGGCTGCTGTCTTACGAGCTCCTGCGCCAATATCTAGATTCTGACTAAATTCATACTGTTCAAATTCGTGCTTGTTGTATGTCGTCGCCACATCGGATAGAAATGAAGCCCGAGCAGGAGCTCGAGTATCGCTGACAACTTCCTCAGAGCCGTTAATAAGCAAATAGTGCAGTAAATTAAGTGCCTACATTGGAACATGAGCACGAACAAATTAGCGTCAGGCTCTCAGAGAGAAAAAACTGCATTGAATATGGCAATGAAAACCTCAACCTTTTTCATCAAGTTTGGATTAGTCTGATGGTCAATAAGAATCTCCCAGATTCTCTCTTGGATACATGGACAATCTACAACATTGTAAGTGCGTGATGCCAAATCAATTATGACGGATGTCGGGATTGCTGTCAGTTGCGAATTTCTTGCTGTCAATGCTGACAAGACGTTGTCCTCAATAGGCAGATATTCGTCCAGTATACGCTCGGCCGGAGTTTTGGTCTCACCTTCCAGCGCAGACTTGACAATCTGCACGACTTCATCGAATAAAGCTTTCACTTTGTTCATGCCGATTTCGTAGTTTTCTGAATTTGAAGAACGCCGTCAAATCTATAAATACTTGTAACAAGAAGAAATCAAAAGTCATTCGAGCCTCTAGAGTTTGCTTGTTTGCTACCATTAATTTCATCAGGGACATTACCAGCACAAGTATTTTGCCTCGTTTCGCGATCTGTCAGCTAGTTTGCCAGAATTTATTCTTGCCATCGACGCACGTCGAGACAAAAGTTTTGGAGTTTTGAAATCGCAAGCAGAAAACCACCCAAGCTACTTGAAGCTTTATAGCATCAAATAACAGTAAGATAAGTAGAGTGATTTCTGACCCAACAGCACTAATATTCAACATACTTGAGGTATCCAGGCTCAATCTTTCATCGCAAACGCTTATCCTCTAATATCCTCGAACCGGAACAGGATCTGATCGTGCCAACAGTTTTACCCGCATACCAGGTTTTTTAGAGGAGTAGAAAAGAAAATTAGACGATTTCTTCGACGAGCTTCGTGACAAACGCAAACAAAAAGCCTTGGGATTGTTCATTTTCGGCGTGTTATTTTGAAGTTACGATAACTCTGAACAACGTTTTTCAAGCCGATTTCTTGAGGAGCCCTGAATTAACATCGACGTGATTACTGCAGACATACACTTGTGTATGATCTTTAGCTCGAAGCGGCGTATTTATGTCTCATCTTTCTCTTAATCTGTGGATGCTTTAACGCATCGTTTTCGTTTACTATGATCACTCTTATTCTATTGTATCAGACATTCGACATACTTTGTTAATAGTTTTAATCGATGCATTTCTCCAGACAAAATACTATCGTCATCTGCTGTCGTGCTGTCTCCGCCAAGTCAAGTATTTGCTAATAGTTTTCTTTACTTTGTATTATTATTTTTTCATTCCTCAATCTTCGTGGAAAATCTCGTCCGTTTCATCTTGCCATCTTTGATATGACTGGTGATCGATCATATATAGCAAAACTAGCCCATGAAATATTAGCATTTTAATTTTTACTTTCGTGCAATCAGCACTGAAGTGAGGATCGTCACCACATAAATTGCTTTAATATCTACTTTATGTTGACAAAGTGAAAGTCGATGTAAGACGTCTATTTGACAAATTTATGCACAGATGCAGTCTTGGCAACCTGAATTGCAGTCAATTTATATGCTGAAAGAGACATTATCGAGAAAGGCAATTTGGCAAAAGGATGGTCATCAATGCTTTTTGCGACGATCGATTGCATTGAGAAATCTTTCGTTTCATATGCTAATTGCGTACATTAGTTCTAAGCTTTACCGAATATCAAAACAGCTTTACTTTGACCATGTCATCTGCGCATTACTACATTTGATGAAGTGATCACGTTCTAGTATGACAGAGAGGAGTTAGAAAGCTACTAATAAGCATGTATTTCGTTGTCATTTATCTGTACATTACTCGTTAAACGAGTGGAGTACGCATTGTCGCATCGATTTGACGATGGGCCAGTGCGGTGCGTCTTGGTTATGTATGTCACGACAGCGGATCACTCAGGCATATAAAAGTATAATCAGGTTCTATAAACTTTTAATATTACAATGAAAGAAAGCGTCATCTTTCTGAATGGGCCGACGACCTGCTACAGACGACTACAGCCGTATATGTATAATCTCTCTCGTGTCTTTGTTTCAAGCGACATCTGATTGATCATCCATAATGATCCTTACTGCAGGATATATTATTACTATAAGTACGTTTGCGCAGATATAGATCTAGAACCACAGAGGATAATATAACATAATATAACGCACATAGCCTTCAATTATTAAGTCAAACTCACGATGTGAAAATACATACTATTACAACTATTTACATGTATTATGCGTTTTTCTGCAACTTCGGCAAAGCGACAGATTTTGCTGCGGATAAAGCTTCGGAGCGGTAGCCTATGCGCTTCTGTGCCGAATCTAGGGCTGAAGTGCCGTTTGAGTAGGATCTGTTCACAAAGGAGATTATGATTACTTCAAACAACACATTCACAAACAAGCACTGGGCAATCACTTAGTTCATAAATGTTAACAACTTATGATAGCGTAAGCAGCTAGCACATTGCAGGCCACCTCATTAACACGCTGATGATCTCACACACTATCCATCTTTCCAGATCTGTCTACTGGGTGGAATTATCCACTATCTTGGTAGCCACGGCCTTGGATACATCCCTACCGATATCTCGGGCTACGCCACCAATGTCCGAAATGACAGCGCCGCTACTGCTGACGGCCTCCTTCATGGCGCGGTCGATGCGAGACTCTTGTGACTTGAGAAAGGGTGCAAGGAAATGCATGTAAAGAAATGATGCGCCCAAAGTAGATGGCATGAAAAGCCAAAGCAAAAAGCCCAGCTTGAAAGCGTAGTAAAAAGGGATCCAATAGAGCAGGAAGTCGGCGAAGATCTCAACGAGATTAAAACAGGCGTAAACAACCCAATACGTTAGCCATTGAACATCGTCCTTTTTTTCGTCTGACTCGACAGCTTTAAATGAGCAGTACGCAGGATAGACAAAGCCCACGAGGTTACAAATAAGCCCAGCGCCAAAAC